TGACGACATACCGGCGGACCTACTGAAGGAGCTGGGCAACAACGGATTGAGGAAACTGACCAAATTTTTGAATCAAATATACAGAACGGGCGAATGGCCAAAGGACTTTCTGGATGTCACGATGATAGCTCTTCAGAAAAAGCCCAAGCGAATAAATGCAGCGACCACAGGACGATCAATTTAATTTTGCACACAGGAAAGGCCCTAGCCAAAATCCTTACAAGACGACTCGAAAATAAGATTGAGCAGCACATGAGCGAAGACCAGTTTGGTTTCAGAAAAGGAAGAGGCACCAAGGACGCTATTAGAATACTGAGGATAATGTCGGACAGATGTCTCGACGTTAACGAGGACATATGCTTCTGTATTATAGATTGGCAGAAAGCTTTTGACAGAGTCAACTGGAGTAAGCTTATGGGAGTTTTAAAATCTATTAACGTCGATTGGAGGGATCGCAGGTTGATCCAGAATCTGTATATGGGACAGAAAGTAAAAGTTCGAATGAACCAGGGAGATACAAAAAGCGTTGAAATAGGTAGAGGAGTGCGGCAAGGATGCTGTATGTCACCGATCCTATTCAACTTGTACGGAGAATGGCTCGTCAACGAGGCACTTGAGGGCGCAGGAGATTTCTCGATTGAAGGAAGAAGAATCACCACCATAAAGTACGCTGATGATCTAGTAGTGATATCAAAAAACCAAAACGAGCTGCAAAACGTGATAAACAGAATCGTCGAAGTGGGTAGAAGATACGGAATGGAAATCAACATAGTGTTATGCCCGCTTCACATCCCTACATCGAATACTCTATTAGTATACACACCACTAGCTAGGACAGGCGAAGGGTATCGGAGATACCCGAAGATATCCGAAGGCGATAACCCTATGATGCACATGCGAGTTTCAGTCTCTCTTTTGGACTGCAGCATACAGGCGATACTAAATTAAACTCTATAATATAATTTATAATTTTCATTCATGAGATTACTGTACTTAAAGTTAATAAAAGTTTGTCCATTAGTCGATAAGGACTTGAAGTGTTTTTCCTTTATTAAATCTCCGCTGCAAGGCAAAAACAAGCTGTGGTATATCATTGTTAAGGCAGTGAAATATACGAAGCACAACAATAGACAAGTCGAAAGTGATGAGAATCACAAAAACAAATAACCCCCTGAGGATAACGGTAGAAAATCGAGAATTGGAAGACGTGGATCACTTCAAATACCTGGTAAGCATACTAACCAGAGACGGATACTGCACGAAAGAGATCAGAACAAGGATCGCAAGCGCCAAGGCGGCATTCACAAAGAAGAGAACGCTACTGACGAGCAAACTGAGTCTTGACTTACGGAAGAGACTAATAAAGTGCTACGTCTGGAGCATAGCTCTGTACGGATCGGAGACATGGACCCTGGCCGATAAAAACTACCTCGAGAGTTTTTAAATGTGGTGCTAGAGGCTAATGGAAAAGATAAAGTGGACAGACAAAGTAACAAATGAAGAAGTCCTGAGAAGAGTGGGCGAAGAAAGGACTCTACTGAGCACAATTCTGAGAAGGAAAGGAAACTGGATTGGATCTCTTTTGCAAAAAGAGTGCCTCCTACACGACGTCGTCGAGGGTAAAATAGAAGGAACAAAAGGAATGGGAAGAAGAAGAATGCAAACGATTGACGACTTACGCGAGAAGAGAAAATACAGGGAACTGAAAGCCGAAGAGCATGATCAAGAAGCATGGAAACAAAAGTTTGGAAAGAAAAATACTTAAATAAATAAATAGGTTATGGGATGAAGGGCAAGGAAATCATTTGTTGTGGTGGCTCTCACACCATGGACCTGCCTTCGGGCAGACTACCACTTATTATTATTATTATTATATATTAATATTATGTATTATTATAAACTTTAAGTTTGCAGATTTTGAAGAACACATTTATGAAAAATAATACGAAAAATCTGATATTGTTGTTAGTTGTTGAAATTAGTTTCCAAAGATCTTGTTTTGTTATTAGAAATTCAATAACAAATGCTAAAGTATTTGATGTTGTTATTTGTAATTGGCTTTTTATAAAATTATATATTAAGGTGACTAGTTCAAATTATAAAAATGAAATTTTGAAGGATATTAAACCAAGGCAAGCACTCCTCGGCCAAAAATTATTATACCGGTGTTAAATTAGACTATCTTATATAAAAAACGAGTTGGTTCTGAAATTTAATAGCAAATGATTACAATTATTTTTAAATCATTATTATTAAAAATTGAGTTTATTCATTTTCCAAACTGATTTTGTTTTACACACTTATAACATTCTCCAATAGTTTCTATTGCAATAAGTCACAAATTAGAAAAACCACAAAAAATGTATAAAACAATTATATAAAAATTGAATTGGTTATCAATAAATGCATATTATTATATGTTTACTATGTACTTTATTCTATTTAATCATTCTTATATTACATTACATGCAAGAATATTTTATAACATGTATCTAAATATTTCGAAGTAAAAAATATTTCACTTATTTTCATCTCGCTTCTGACTATGAATTAACATGTGTCTCCTCAAATTTCTCGAACAACCAAATCTTTTATTGCATGTTTCACATTTATAGGCACGCTCTCCGGTATGAGAAAGCATGTGACTTTTCAAACTATATAATGTTGTGAATGACTTATTGCATAAACTGCATTCATGGGGGCGCTCACCAATGTGAATTAGGTTGTGACTTTTCAGAGTACTTACTCGTGTGAATGACTTATTGCATATAATGCATTTAAAAGGACGCTCACCACTGTGAATTAGGTTGTGTTTTTTCAGAGTACTTAATTCTGTGAATGCCTTATTGCATATCTTGCATTGATGGGGGCGCTCACCACTGTGAATTAGGTTGTGACTTTTCAGAGTACTTACTTGTGTGAATGACTTATTGCATATAATGCATTTATAAGGACGCTCATCACTGTGAATTAGGTTGTGTTTTTTCAGAGTACTTAATTGCGTGAATGTCTTATTGCATATATTGCATTTATAGGGGCGCTCACCACTGTGAATTAGATTGTGATTTTTCAAAGTACTTAATTGTGCAAATGTCTTATTGCATATATTGCATTGATGGGGGCGCTCACCACTGTGAATGAGCATGTGATTTTTTAGACCATTTAATTGTGCGAATTTCTTTTTGCATATATTGCATTGATAGGCGCGATCAAGACTGTGAATGAGCATGTGACTTTTGAGAGTACTTAATACTTTGAATTTCTTATTACATGTAGTGCATTCATGGGGGCGTTCACCGCTGTGAATAATCATGTGACTTTTCAGATGACTTTTTCGTTTGTAAGTCTTGAGACAGATGTCGCATTTGAATGGGCGTTCTTTGCTATTACTAGGCTTATGATCGACCATATGCTCTTTTAATTGATTTGTTTCTGCAAATGATCGATTACAAATGTCACATTTATAAGCTGATGTCTCAAATAATTCCTGTTTGACTTCTTCTTCGATAGTTACCTCGGAATTCATGAATCTTTCTAAACAGGTTTTATCATCCTCAGTATACGATTCAGATTTAACAATATCATCAAGATCATCCATTTCATCCCCAATTTCGCGTTTAATTTCTTCTTCTAAATATTCTGGTGGCTCAATTTTAATTGCCGGATCATTCACAGTAATGAATGATGCTTCTGACATGTTTAAATATTTTCACTGCGTATACTCAATATTTACAAAAATAGTTATGTGCTAAATAATAATTCAGTTTAAACAACAATCTTTTTTAATATGATAATGATTTCCATTTTATACATTTATTATATTGTCTAGGTTAATTATCTGACATTTGGAGCATAGAATATACTTGCAGAAAGATGAGACACTTATCAAATCGCTTTGACATTTAACAAGTGGCGCCACCTTTTAAATACATGTAGCAACCCTATAATTGACCACCTTTGGAATGGAAAACACGACCAATAGCAGACGTCCACGTCGTTGAGGTTTGGGTATAAAACCCAGACCTATCATCGAATAATTCTCATTCACCAACCGCTTATCGGTTGTATCAGATGTAGTGTAAATAAGAAGAAATAAATATATATTATTACTATCAACATTTGTTTACCCACATAATTGGTGACCCCGACGTGATCGAAAGTACTGCAATATCTGCTACAAATAGTAATATTACAGAACTCACAAAATCAGTCGAGGACTTACGAAAGCAAGTAAGTAAATTACTTGCCCAAAACAAAACCAAGCGACGTTCAAGAAGTAATAGTCCATATTTTAACAGACAATCAAAAAAATATGACATTTATTGGTATCACCATCGCTGGCAGAACAAAACTTTAAAATGTACTAAACCTTGCTCATTTCAGCATTCAACATGAAGGGCAGTCGCTAATGGCGGCAAGTGATTGCCTCAAGACGTCGCACCGCCTGTTTGTTACCGATAAAAATTCAAAACTGCAAATTTTAGTCGACACAGGATCAGATTTGTGTGTTTGGCCACGAAAATTATTACGAGGGCACTACCAAGCATATTCAACTAGATTTGGGTTTGAGAAGAAAATTCCGATGTCGCTTTGTAATAGCAGATGTGACAAATTATCCTATTATTGGCTCAGATTTTCTTCATTTTTACAATTTATTAGTGGACATTCGCCTTAAAAGACTAGTGGACTGAAATACAAACTCATATGTTGCTGGCATAATTAGAAGTGTCAACCTTACTCTTCTTTTATCTATGTGTCAACCTTACCAACATTACTACAATCATTTCAAAAACTAATAAACACTTCTCCCAATCATTACTAATTGAATGTTTTTAGATGATTCAAATCGGATGCTCCGTTCTCGCAAAAACTCGATTTGTATTTTCTGCACTCTTTGCTCTTTATCTCCGTAACCGCTGGACCTGCCTTTGCCAAAAACTAATCAGCTCATCTCCCTATCAATAGGAATCGAATGTTTTTTAAACCATTCAAATCGGTTAATCCGAAAACGTGACTGGAAATTTGTATCCATATATACATACACACACACACATCCATTGTTTCTGAGGTATGCCAAAATGTTCAGAAACCTTCAAAACAATTTCGATTTTCGGCCCATTACAATAACTTACCCTACGGGAAGTTAATGTAACATAAGAATAGTAACTAATAATAATAATAATAATATATAATAATAGTAAATAATAAAATAATATAATAATACTACAAAAAAACATTAAATTAACTAACATATTTAGATGATTTACTATAAAAAATATAGAAATTGTTCCATTTAGCAATTTAGCAACAAGGATATTATCCATTGGTGATTTACGCTTGAGCCTCCTGGAATGTGGCATTTCACGCAGTTGTGCAACTATTTTATTTGGATGGGCTTCTAGTTTTTGAAAGTGGTGGACACTGAAGTTTCTTATTACTTCCTCGATATATAAAGTATTCAGATCGTCATGTATCGTCTTGTTACTGACGAACCACGGGGCATCAACTATTTGTCTGAGTATTTTAAAATAATTATAAAGGCACTTTTCATTTATTTTATTTTAATATTAAATTAGTAAAAAAACTAGTTGGTATTGGTATTTTGCCTTGAGGCAAGTTACATGAACTTCCCGATTTGTGTGAATAATCGACTTAATTCATGATAGATAGATTAATTTATGAGTAGTAAAAAGGATTCGAAGTGATAAAGTGAAGTAAGATTTATTACACATTATTGAAAATCGAACACGTCAACCCGGTCGGAGTATTTTTTTAAAGGAAATTTTCAAAAATCTATAATTTTTATAATTGAGCCAGTTTTTTGTAGGACTTTAATTGTTTAGTATATTTATTAAGACCAAGCATTTATCGTTATACCAGGTAAATCATCTAAGTTTAATTTTAACAAATGTCAAAAGAACTACTCATTTTCTCAAACTTTGATGAATTTTTAGAATTAAACTACTTGTAAGGCCGTAATATTTCAGTAAGTTCTATAACACCATGATATATATTGCCCAAAAAAGTTCCATGGAAATCGGCTTATTTTTTTTTCAACAAGAAAACGGCTCGGTAGATTCTCACCTAAAACTAATCATCAGTATCATAATCAATCAATCAATCAGTATCCCGACTAATATCTTTTGAACAGTTTTTGATTTTTTAAAATCGGTTCGGTAGTGTGAGCCTAAATGTGGACGAAAGGTTTAACACTTTTTTCCAAATTACAAAGAAACGGCTCGGCGGATCGTCGCACAAAACTGAGAAACGATAATCCTCATCGAGATACATCAAATGGTTTTTAAATTTCTGAAATCGGTTCAGGCGTTTTTGAGCAAACGTCGATGAAAGCGTTAATTTTGACAAATGCTAAAAAGACCATACTAATTTTTGCAAACTTTGATGAATTTTTTAAGCTAAACGAGTTGTCGTAGGGCCGTAATATTTTAGTATGATCAAGAAGACTATGGTATCTACCGTCAAAAAAATAATAAAAATCGACGAAAAAATTTACATTACAAGAAAACAGCCCGGCCGATCTCTACCAAAAATTAATCAGTTCGATCGATTTCCAACCAATATCTTTCGAAAGATTTTTGAATTTTCAAAATCGATTCAGAATTGCGGGCTAAAACGTGGACGAAAAAGTTTTCACTTTTCTGCACAAAGCTGACAAACAATAGTCCTCATCGAGATACATCAAATGGCTTTTAAATTTTTGAAATCGGTCCAGCCGTTTTTGAGAATACGGCGATTTGCGGCAAAAAATCTGCTGGTGCACACGCACACACACACACATATTTTTTCCAAATTTGGTCTCATTCGATTCAGAATGGCTTGAAACGTCGAGAAAACATAAAATCAGCGAATCGGATTTTTTTATGAAAACATAAACTTCTCCTTCGGGAAGTTAAAAATTGGTATACAATTTTGTGTTATATTCAGTTATATTAATTAGTGCTCACATATTTGAGTTTTTGTTTTGATTATTTGTTTTGCAATAAAAACATTTTTCTTCACTAAAATTCATGTGTTATCCTCGTCATTCTCGTAATTATCGATAATTTAACGATTTAATTCAAAAGACATGCTAAGGAAAAGCTTCAACAAATATTTGCGTGGGTATATCATTGCTACAAAATTAATATTAATATATTTGTTACTGATAACACAACATGCAAATCAATAAAATTTCTTATGGCCATGGCTCAAAATTGTATAGTGCTTTTGAGCAACACATGTTTGTTCTAATATTGTGGCCCATAACAGTATCAATAATATTTAAATTAGGCTTGCAACGAATAATATATTCGGCAAAATGCCGAACACCGAATATTCGGCAAAATGCCAAACACCGAATATTCGGCTTGCTCCAGAGACTAATACCAAATATCCGGCAACTATTCGACAGACTGAATACAAACTCGTTCGTATTAATGTAAATATTATTTACAGTTGCTATATTACTAACGTACTACATGTTTATTAACTTCCCGAAGGAGAAGTTTATGTTTTCATCAAAAAATCCGAATTGCTAATTTTATGTTTTCTCGACGTTTCAAGCCATTCTGAATCGAATGAGACCAAATTTGGAAAAAGTATGTGTGTGTGTGTGTATGTGTGTGTGTATGTGTGTGTGCGTGTATGTGAACAGATTTTTTGCCGTAAATCGACGTTTTCTCGAAAACGGCTGGACCGATTTCAAAAATTTAAAAGCCACTCGATGTATCTCGATGAGGACTATTGTTTGTCAATTTTGTGCGACGATCGGGCAAGCCGTTTCTTTATAAATCGCAAAAAAGTGAAAAAAATTTCGTCTACGTTTTAGCCCGCAATTCTGAATCGATTTTGAAAATTCAAAAACCGTTCGAAAGATATTGGTTGGGAATCGTGCTGATTAGTTTTTGGTAGAGATCGCCCGAGCCGTTTTCTTGTAATAAAGTTTTTTAAAAAAAAATTTCGACGATTTTTATGATTATTTTTTTGACGGTAGATACCATAGTCTTCTATATCATACCAAAATATTACGGCCCTACGACAACTGGTTCAGCTTTAAAAACTCGACAAAGTTTGCAAAAATTGGTATCGTTTTTTTGGCATTTGTCAAAATTAGACCTTTGATCGACGTTTTCTCAAAAACGCCCGAGCCGATTTTAGAAATTTAAAAGCTATTTGATGTATTTCGGTGAGGACTATCGTTTGTCAGTTTTGTGTGACGATCTGCTAAGCCGTTTCTTTGCAATTTGAAAAAAAGTGTTAAACTTTTTTTCGCATTTAAGCTCATCCTACCGAACCGATTTTAAAAAATCAAAAACTTTTCGAAAGATATTAGTTGAGAATGACACTGATTAGTTTTAGGTGAAAATCTACCGAGCCGTTTTCTTGTAATTAACTGTTGAACAAAAAATTTAAGCCGATTTTCATGGAACTTTTTTTGGCGATATACATCATGGTCTTATAGAACTTACTGTAATATTACGGCCTTACGACAAGTAGTTTAATTTTAAAAATTCGTCAAACTTTGCTAAAATAATTATCGTTTTTTTTTTAAAGTAGGATTGATAAAGTATATTATTTACACTTTTTTTTGATTAAGTCGATTATTTACGCATATCGGGAAGTTCATGTAACTTGCCTCAAGGCTAAATACCAAACCAACTAGTTCAATTTTTATTCCTAGACTTGCATCGACCATTCGGTTACTCTTTCTTATTTGAAGAATATGGCACCATTACCTTTCGGACGAATACCGAATACTTAATGTGATACGGAAATAAATCAAAAAACGATTCTTTACAGATATATAAATGGATTTCGTAATATTTCTTTCATAATATATATATATATATATATATATATATATATATATATATATATATGTACATATATTTTTAATTATAATAATTTAAAATAATTTTTTATAAACGAACCGTTTCCTTTCATAGAATGTTTTATCTTCTATCGACATTTATTTTTCAACTGGGCCCTATTCCTTCTCTTTCGTATTTGATATTTCGTGATTCAAATACTTGACCTTGATTGAGAAACTTGTAACGGATATATATAGTTTGGTGAAAAGTCTCAGACATAAAGAAATTTCACCTCTAAACGCTTTATTGTACGTTAAATAATCATGAACATTACCACTCAACTTCTGAGTGACTTTGAACATGGGTGATGCGTATTTAAGCTAAAATATGAACAAACAAAACAAAAAATTAAATATATATATCGGAGATCATGAAACCGCAAGTGACGCGATCCGAGTTCATCCCAAGTCTGGAATGAAAAGAAAAATTAGATATGTTCAGTTGAGAACAACTGAAACATTTTCGATAATGAATGCATGTTTTCAGAATATGATGCACAATTTAATATCTTCGTTTTGGGCACCGTTAGACGATCAAGAATAATAAATGCAATGTCGACAGTTGCTGATAGAAAATAGACTTAATCCTGTCCGTTAATGTGCGTCAAATTCTAATGTGGATCTGCAAAAAGGAAGAAGCGCAGTATCAAAAAAGAAATATACTAATAAATGAATTTGAATAAAAGAAATTTTATATAGAAGGGGTTGGTAAAATTTATTGAATAATAAAATTTAGGGAAAAGATGACATGAATGAGAGGCAGATGATTACTAAATTATCATTGGTTAGCAAAGTATTGTTTAATATCAAAATTAACAAATTCTGATAAATCATAGAAATATTGAGCTTTTAAGAATTTTACTATAGTATTGTGGAATTTATGATTATTTAGTTTTCGTATGTGAAGTGGTAAGTAAGTTAAAAAGTTGAATTCCAAATCCGTCAATTGAGTTAAAAGACGTTGCAAGTTTAAATACTGGTGCTTTAATAGTTAAGTTTCTTGTCTTGTAATGAGAATTTAACATTGAAGACATATTGAAACGTTCGAGATTATTTTTTATAAACGATATAAACGATAACACATAATGCTAATTTAGGTTTTCATATTTCAGATTTTAAATTATAACGCACTGATTATGAGACAAACCTAGTCTCAAAACGTTTGTAAAAATTATTATTTAATAAATTAGTGCAAAAAAGAGTGTTGTTTGCTCATATTTCTAAATATAATATAAACAAAGCAAAATCTTAAAATCTTAAATTATTTTTGCTTTCCTACATCAGTAGTATCATGTGATTGTGGTGTTGTAAAATGTGTTAGTATAGTGTGGTTTTTCCTGATCTGGTGTGTATAATTTGTTGTTTTCAATTAATTTTTCCAATGTATAAATTCATTTTTTAAAACTTTTTCTTTATAATGTAAATTTCTTTTAGCTGAATGATGAGACACATCTAGTCTCGAAACGTATAAAAAATTAAAATAAATCTTTACATTCGACGCATTGGCTGTTTTATTCATTTCAATATATATATATATATATATATATATATATATATATATATATATATATATATATATATATATGAGTGAGTTCTTGAGAGCGATACATCAAACAAAGAAAAGCCAAAGATTTATAAAATAATCTTTATTTCCAAACGTTTCGACATTCAATTTAATGTCATCATCAGTGGATATTACGTTGGTTAGTTACATATAGAGAAGTGTACACAGCACTAGAGATTGGCACTAACATTTATACAACTAACTTGTCAGTACTATGCATTTTTTATATAATTTTTTTGTATGATGTAAACAGAAAAATGATAGTTTTATTGAACAAAAATGTAAGTAGAATTATGTAATTTCTGCCACGACTTCTGTACTTTGCTAGTACCGAGGCACGAATAGATACGTGCCTCGGTACTAGCAAAGTACAGAAGTCGTGGCAGAAATTACATAATTCTACTTACATTTTTGATCAATAAAACTATCATTTTTCTGTTTACATCATACAAAAAAATTATATAAAAAATGCATAGTGCTGACAAGTTAGTTGTATAAATGTTAGTGCCAATCTCTAGTGCTGTGTACACTTCTCTATATGTAACTAACCAACGTAATATCCACTGATGATGACATTAAATTGAATGTCGAAACGTTTGGAAATAAAGATTATTTTATAAATCTTTGGCTTTTCTTTGTTTGATGTATCGCCCTCAAGAACTCACTCATATATTTCAACATCAAAATTAACTACTAAATCATATATATATATATATATATATATATATATATATATATATATATTAATATTATGTATTATTATAATTTTTAAGTTTGCAGATTTTGAAGAACACATTTATGAAAAATGATACAAGGAATCTGATATTGTTGTTAGTTGTTGAAATTTGTTTCCAAAAATCTTGTTTTGTTATTAGAAATTCAATTATAATTGCTGAAGTATTTGATGTTGTTATACATAATTGGCTTTTTATAAAATTATATATTAAGGTGACTAGCAACAAATTATAAAAATGAAATTTTGAAGGATATTAAACCAAGTTAAGCACTCTTTGACCAAAAATTATTATACTGGTGTTAAATTAGACTACCTCATATAAAAAACGAGTTGGTTCTGAAATTTAATAGTAAATGACTACAATTATTTTTAAATCATTATTATTAAAATTTGAGCTTAATCATTTTCCAAACTGATTTTGTATTACACACTTGATAACATTCTCCATTAGTTTCTATTGAAAGTTAGAAAAATCACAAAAAAATGTATAAAACAATATAATATGTAAAAATTGAATTGATTATTTATCAATGAATGCATATTATGTAATGTTTACTATGTACTTTTTTCTATTTATTGATTCTTATATTACATTACGTACAAGAATATTTTATAACATGTATCTAAAAATTTCAATGTAAAAAATATGTTTATATTTCACTGATTTTCATCTCGCTTCCGACTATGAATTAACATATGTTTCCTCAAATTGCTCGAATGACTAAATCTCTTATTGCATGTTTCACATTTATAAGCACGCTCTCTGGTATGAAAAAGCATGTGACTTTTCAAGTTATATAATGTTGTGAATGACTTATTGCAGAAACTGCATTCATGGGGGCGCTCACCAATGTGAATTAGGTTGTGATTTTTCAGAGTACTTACTCGTGTGAATGACTTATTGCATATAATGCATTTAAAAGGACGCTCACCACTATGAATTAGGTTGTGTTTTTTCAGAGTACTTAATTCTGTGAATGCCTTATTGCATATCTTACATTGATGGGGGCGCTCACCACTGTGAATGAGCATGTGCCTTTTTAGAGTATTTAATTGTGCAAATTTCTTTTTGCATATCTTGCATTGATGGGGACGCTCACCGCTGTGAATAATCATGTGACTTTTCAGATGACCTTTTCGTTTGTAAGTCTTGAGACAGATGTCGCATTTGAATGGGCGTTCTTTGCTATTAATAGGCTTGTGATCGACCATATGCTCTTTTAATTGATGTGATTCTGCAAATGATCTATCACAAATGTCACATTTATAAGCTGATGTCTCGAATAATTCCTGTTTGTCTTCTTCTTTGATAGTCACCTCGGAATTCATGAATCTTTCTAAACAGGTTTCATCATCCTCAGTACACGATTCAGATTTAACAATATCATCAAGATCATCCGTTTCATCCTCAATTTCGCGTTTAATTTCTTCTTCTGAATATTCGGGTGGCTCAATTTTAATTGCCGGATCATTCACAGTAATGAATGATGCTTCTGACATCTTTAAATATTTTCACTGCATATAATCAATATTTACGAAAATAGTTATGTGGTAAATAATAATTCAGTTTAATCAACAATATTTTTTAATATGATGGTTTCAACTTTATACATTTATTATATTGTCTAGGTTAATTATTTGACATTTGGAGCATAGAGTATTCTTGCAGAAAGATGAGACACTTATCAAATCGCTTTGACATTTAACAAGTGGCGCCACTTTTTAAATACATTCTCAACTCAACTGTCAAAAAACGTTTTTATTATTAATTCTAGAATGATTATTATATAGATAAAAGAAGAGTATGGATGGACAGAGATAGAGAGATGGATATAGATATGGATGAAAGAGTGGATTATTACATAGACAATAAAATATTATGAAACTAGTGGTATACGGAATCGTGCCTTAAGGCAAATTGCTGGAACTTTCCATACAGTAACAAAATGATCGAGAAATATAAATATTTTCAAATAGATTATTATAAATACTGTAACATTTTCTAAAACTGATAATAATTATAAAAACTGAATTACCAAGTTAAAGTTATTTATTTAAAGTATATAAGTAAGCTTCAGATCTTTAGCTTTATCTTTAAAATCTGAAAAATTTACGATTACAAAAAAAATATTTTGGATTTTTTTTTAAATTAAAAAAAAACTTAACAACAATTGTTTCGCCAACACAAGCAGAATATTTGTTGGATCATTCAAATCGGACACTCCGTTCTCTCAGAAACTCCGTTTCTATTTTCTACACTCTTTGCTCCGTATCTCCGTAATGGCTGGACCCGCCTTTGCCAAAAACTAATCAGCACATCTTTCTATCAATAGGAATCGATTACATTTGAATTCTATAAATCGGTTCATCCATACGTCCGAAATCGTGGTCGAAAAATGGTCTCCAACACACACACACATCCATTTTTTCTGAGGTATGCCAAAATGTTTAGAAACCTCTGAAACGTAAAGATATGCAAAAATTTTCTTCGGCTAATTACTATAACACACCCTACGTGAAGTTAATTATTTGTATTTAACTAATGATATTAGATATTATACTAAGCACATATTAATAAAATTTATTAATTTCACATTCTACATAAGAGATATTAACTTTGTTAACGTCCTGCAAGGAAAGTTATAGTACATAATAGCAAAGCAAAAATGAAAATGATTTTTTTTATATGTCTGTAAACCGAAAGCCCTCTAAAACTTTTGGTATAACTTAGAGATAATGGATCTACTCATTTTTGTCGACGACTTCGAGAACACGAATCAACCGATTTGAATGATTCAAAAACATTTTGCTTGTATGGACCGTGTGAATAATTGGCTGAATCTCTCAAAGAATAGTAATATAGAAAGATAGCGATATATAATATAAAATATAAAAAAATAAAAAAGTTAGTATAAATAATCAGTAAATAATAATTAATAATTTTGTTTGATTGAGACAGAAAATTATATTTACCTAATTGATATATTAAATTTAATCAACGAC